GGGGGGGTAGGTAGTTAAATCTAAAATACCATAATCACATTGATTAGTTACCTCTCGGCCTGCCAATAACTATAGTCAATTTTAACAAGTTTTTGTCGAAGCAGTCCATCCGCCTTTTTTATGTAGGGAAAAGGAACGACATGCAATTGTGAATTGATGTTATTTATATAATAAAGATAATTTTTAGCTGAACTAGAACAGCGTTTCCCTAAACAATGAACAATAATGTTACATAGTAGTTATTTGTTAACTAATGTTTTTAACCTTCAATAGTAAGTTATTGTCTTCAAGCAATCGCCAATCGGCGGTTTTTCAAGATTGACCATGTTTTCGCGATCGCAGTAACATCAAAGACATCGGTGATATTCTTTTATTATTATTATAATTATTATTATTATTAAAAATCTTATTTTACAACGGTTATCCTTCAACACACCTAGGTTATTGATTTCCAAGGAGCCAATTGGGGGTTTATAATATCATTATAATATAATATATATTTATGATAGGGGGGTTTATAATTTCAGGTAAATTTTTTTTTTTTCAGCGGCAAGGATCAGATATGTTATTGCGTGAATAACTTTTTACAATCTTCAGTAAACTGAATGATCTCTCATTTTTCACAACGCCAACGGCATGGGCGGCTGTCAGAAATAGTTTATAAAACTTTGAAGCCAACTTGAAAAGACCATGCTTTTTGGCCACTTTAAGAGCAATGTTTGCAGCGATCGTACATGACATGGGTTTTGCCTCAAGACCTTGTGACTGACGTTCTTCTTCCATTCGTCTGTGTTCCTTCAGCGCATTTTTAAAGAAAACGGACAATTCGCTGTGTAATGCTAGGCTTTGTTCCTGGTGTTTCTGGATGCAAAACCTTTAGGAACGGATTAAAAGTGTCCTTAAGACCAATTTGTTTCTCCATTAATTCCATTAATTCTCGTTTATGTTTGCCCAAAAATCACAAAAAGTCACATACTTAGGTTAACATCAAGTCTCAAGACGTAGTTGTTCACGTTGTTCACTGTGTAATAAATAATGCATAAAGATTATACGCGTATAATATAGAGAACAGTAAGGCTAGGACAATGCCCTCGTAATGGCTCATTCAACCAAAACTATTCAACAATGTTACAAATCTACGAGACAAATCTTTAGATATTAATAGACGAATATTGCGTATATATCGGCCATATGTGTAGAATTATTAACGAACTACTATATAAGTAAAAATATGACAAAATACACGGCACACAATACACATCGTGACATGTGCATCACACATACAGACGTTCAAAATTTACATCCGGATATCATATCCCTGTTGTTGTATTAATCTAAGCAAACAAATAATTCTATGTCTTCTATGTATTTCAAGACAGGGGCATTGAAGTTTGCTCGTTTTCGTGTTGGACAGAAATGGTTGCGTGTACGTGTTGTTTGATTGTGTATTTATAGGCGAAGCTAAATAAATAAATAAAATACACTGTATTACTATCAAAAAGTAGATGAAATTAATATAATTTCTTGCACGTACCTTGACCTTGTGTGTAGAGCCAAAACCGGAAGCGCATATTACTTAGCGAAAAAATTATGTTTTTTTGCCGATGGAAATAGTAAAATAGACAACATATTCTTTTCGTAAAATAAAGCCTGGCATGGCTACGTTGATAAAACGGAAACCTCTGAACGTATCAACGTATGACGCAATAAAGAATAAAAACCTCATCTATTTTCCGCATTTCAATCCTCTATTATTTGCCTGTTTTCGTTATGGGTTTTCAAGATTTTTTACCTGATTTATTAATGCCAGTTTTTCATGGATTTACCTGAAATTTTCAAATCGTCTAAGTTGGGGGGGTGTCACACCCCCCCACACACCCCCCGGTCGCTACGTCCCTGTGTTTTTCAATCCTGAGTTCGCTACAGGCCCTACACGCGTAAACATCTCACAAGATGGGTTCACACTGCTTGTTCCCAGTTATTGACAAATCTGGAACAAAGTTGTTGTCTTGTAACAAGGTTGATGAGGCCAACAGACTAGTAACAAGTTGTTCCAACAAGTCTGATATAATCTGCACGTAACAAGTTATTAACAAGTTGATGATAACAAGCTCGTCGCAACTTGTTACAAACAGCCTGTATTAGTGTTGTTGGAACAACTTGTAGCGAGTCTGTTAATTACTGTTACCTCAACAACCTTGTAACAAGGTGATAGCAACTTGTTCCAGACTTGTCACAACAACTGGGAACAAGCAGTGCGAACACATTCGACCAGTTGCATAAACAAGATTTGAGATTTTTACGTCTGTATGTGATGGATTGAGCTCCGCGGAGTTTAGCGTTTATATATACATACTTACTTTAAATGAACAAATTGATCATCTTCCAACACCAAGACCACTTGAGGAAGTCGGGTTACTTTGTATTTCGTTTTTCTAACCTCCTGAAATAATGGTGGAATAACATTCATAATCACTCCATGCTAATTTTCATAATCACAAATTGTCCTTACAGTAGCAAGGAACAGAACATTTTTTTGTTCACAATAAGGGTAAATACATACATCATTGACCACTCTCTTCACCATAATCTTAGGATTGTTCATCAAATCTAACATAAGCTACAAAGAACAAAACATTCCTAATCAAAGTAACAACTTTCACATATCCTAAATTGGTATATGGGAACAGATTTTATTGTTGTCCTAATCGATTATATAACCAAAGACATGCTTTAATTTTCGGCTCAAATGGAATCATTTTCCCATGCCAATTTTATAGTGGATGCAAATCAACATTTGCAACAGCTATAGAAATGTTGGCAAATGGTCTGATTAAGAGGAAAATCTTTTGTATGTTACATAATGTTAAAAATCATCTGGCATTAGACAGAGTAAAATAATACAGTTCGGCACATTATAGGGCACAATGCAACTAATGGGTTAAATAAGAATACAAAATATACCTCTTTCCCAAGATAAGACGAGTTACTTTCAAAAACCAACGCCACAGGTTTAGGTAATCGCATTTTCTCAGAAAAGTTGTCAGACATTTTTCTGCTGCGGAAGAGAGAATGAAATATATGACTTTATGTAAATGTGCATATTGCAAACTTTGAGATTTCCTAAACAGCTACTCAGTAATACTCCAAGGTAGGCTTACCTAATTGGTGTAAAATCGATCTTCATGTGAGGGTTTCCTTTTGCTTCCAAATAGTCAATAATAGCGTGCTGCATTTCAGGTGGTTCTCTGTCTCCTGGAAAAACAGTTGAAAAAAAGTTGGAATTTCCATGCAGTGTTGATTAGTGTTAATGACACAATTGCCAGAGTTATTAGGTAGTATAAGTACTATTTAAAACACGAGTAGGAGTGTTTTATCAGATATAAAATGCGAGGCGCAGCCGAGCGTTTTATGTCTGATAAAACATGACAACGAGTGTTTTGAATAGCTTAATTAAAATACGACTACAAAAGAATACTAATTAGGATGAACCATTATATAATCATAGTATGAGTAATTAGGATGAACAATTATATAATTATGCCACATGCTTTATCAGATATAAAGCCACTCCACGTGACATATTATAGCTGACATGATTTGCCACATGGTATATGAATTATTAATGAGTATTTTAAGTACTGTTTAATAAGCGAGCAGGAGTGTTTTATTAGGTTTAAAGCCACGAGTGCGCAGTGCTTTTAATGATGTTTGAAACATAATGAATTAATATATACCTGTGTAAACTGTTCCAAGATCTTTATGTTTTGGGCCAAACACAATATAGCCTAGCTGTACAGTAACAGGGCCATGCATGACTAAAGTCTTCTGAAGACAGCCAGGGTGCACGACTTACTTTAAGTGTAGGATATCCTTGTATGCCAAAATTTTCACATGTCCCCAGGTTCCTGGCCTCGGCACAGTCTATAGCAGCAACTTGAATAACACTATTCCAGCCTACGGGAATAGCAACCCATTAAGTATTAACATCTAACAGTTTCCTCTCAACGAGTACATTTGTCTAGCATTAGAGACATGGGCGTACCGGGGGGGGGGGGGGGGGGCAGCCCCCCCCCCCAGTTTGTTGGGCAGTCGGGCAATATTCGCTAAACAGTCGGGCAATTTTGGCTTATTATAAAAATAAATTGGACAAATTCTGTATAATTGTGGTCAATTTTGTGATCGCCAAAATAAATTCTGGAAAAATTTTTTTCGGTAATAACAAAGTACAGTAGGGCACATTAGGCACAATTGCAGCTTAATGGCTAATTAGCAATATAACGATCTGTGCCAGTGACAATAAGTTCTGTTTGTATTTTTCAAGTAGTTGTATTCCTATCAATCTGCAGTTTTCAAACGGCTTACTGCGGATTTGGGAAGACTGTTTAATGCAAATAATTATTGCGTGCATTGCAACAATAATTAATAATATTTAAAGACCAAGTCAAGTCTGTTCTGCACATCAGTTCTGCTCATAACAATTAAAAGGGGGGACCCACAGATATAAACATTGCCCACATTTTCCATCTTTCAAACTTTTTTGAATTGAAACATACTCTAGTTTATATTCATTTACAATAGCAAACCAGAAAAGTGTTAGATATTCAGTTAGTATGTCTTATTTTACAAATATAGCAGTTCAAAATATAAACAAATGATTTGTTTACATTACGGACTTGACATGGTCTTTAATATTTATATTGTGCAAATTAACATGTTATAGTATATGATCAATCAGTTGGATTATGATGTTTCTAGGCAGGTTGATTGACTTGCAAGAGTGAGGTTTATATGTATTGTGAGGAAAACATCATGTTCTGGCTTACATAATATTTGTTGAATTTTGGTGGTTTTAGTCATGAATCTCTCTTTCTGTCCTCCTCTGGGAATTATTTTGTCAATAATACCTCTTTTGGTTACGTTCGATGATGCTTTTCCTTGTTCGTAAACTGTAAAATTCCCGCCATGAACGGTTGAATTTTAAAGACAACATATAAACAACACCCTCACAACGTCATCAACCTACCTAGCAATAATTATTCACATTTTAAAACAGTCTTCCCGAATCCGTAGTAACAAGATATATAAATAACCATTTATGCACAAATCATTCCCTTGACAAATTAAATCAACTAGTGCTAGACAACATAAAAATTATAACAAAGCGCTGAGTCACATTAGAGCAGATTGTGGCTTAACTAACCCACTGAGCAGCAGCACTCTCTCCTTTTTTATGAATAAAATTGTCTGGCATTAGACAGAGTAAAATAATTAAGTAGGGTGCATCAGGGCACTGCAACTGAATGAGTTATATAATAAGTTAACATTTCTTTATTTTATTCTGCCCAATACTGGACAGTGCAGTGAGTCCCAATTTGCCCTACTTTGTTATTTTATTTTATCTAATGCATGGCAAGTTTACTTGTGAAGGGATTGTCTTGAACATTTATTTGATAGATATGATAGCATATTCCATAAGCTCTCACCGAGACCAGCTGCACTCTAGCTTGGCAAGGCAAGATATTTTACACCAAAAACATGTTGCCTCGGGAACTTCGCATTGCAAAGAAAGAATGGATATTCTTTTGCTATGCCATATTTTATATTTTTGCCTACAATTTACTTTCCTATTCAATTTAATGTAATATAATACATTAAACTAATTTTGAGGTTGACTTGCTTTCATTAAATATTTATACAGTACGAACAAAAAGTCAAAGACTTTTATGAAAAGTATGTATGAAAATACATGACCAATATATATATTAACATCATGAAATTGAGTTAAATATTAACCTAGTTGGTTAATACTGATCAAATATTAATATAATGAAACTAAAAAATGATTCTAAATTGTATAAATATAATTTCTGCTTATAAACAGCATGACCTAATAACGAAACAATGTGTATTGTAAGCCCTTTAAACACGAAATATAAACGCCTTCTTTTACACAAAAGAAGACATCGATATGTTCGCTTTATATGAAAATCCTAAAATCTAACCTTCAACTTGTGTTGCTAATCTCTTCCAATCTGGAGCAAAAGACTGACAATGCCCACACCAACTCGAATAGAATTCAACAAACCAAGCGAAATTACTATTATATATAGCCGTAGATATCGTATCATTTTCAAGTAGTACGATCTTGTCCATAGGTGAATATAATGGATTTCCATATACCGTAAAAACGTAGCAAATGAATACATAAACCGTTAAAATGCAAAGCCAGTTGCACTTCATAGTATTAGGTTATTAAAAGTTTATAAATATGTTGTTAAGTTACTTTGTAAAAACTTGGTATTTTTCAACCAGTAAAATGTGTATTTTTCTTCATAGATTTCATAGTGATTCTGTGATCCATTGAGGCCGAGTTGTTCCTTGAGCCATTAGTGGTTAAAGCACTTGATTAGTGGTGTATTTTACACAAAAAAGGTGAACACAAAGTCAACAATAACACACGTTTCTCTTTTCGATAATTTTAGCCATTCTTTTATAACATGTTTATCTCTGAAATCGACAACCGTATCCGACTTCCGGTTCCCAACTGACCAATCACGTTATGGATTCGACACTTCCGGGTAGTGGTATGCACGGATGCATGCATCTGTTTGTCTGTGTTTCTCCATTGCCCCATTTACTAAAAAATTACAATGAATATAAGAGAAATGTTAGATTTGGTTCGAAATCCTCTCTTATCCTCCATACCTACTTGATAATTTTAAGAAAACGCCCCAAAGGTCAGGTGTCCATATAATAGCCTGCATATATCGTTATGCTAAATGTGCGCAATTAACTCAGACCTGCCAAGTCTCACGATTTAATCGTGAGACTCACAATTTTTTATTCTTTCTCACGATCTCACGATTAAGTCCCCAAATCTCACGATTTTCGGAACTTATGAAATCATCGAAGAGCGCAACATTTAGTTACAATAAGGTACACTCTTCCAAGGAAATGTCACACTTCATTAGTGTATTAATAATGCGCCTCTGAATGCGCAATGTACAACGCCAGAATTTTGTATGCGTGATGTTTGTGTTACAAAGTAAAAGCTGGTGTGTCCTGCTAAGTTTATTGTCCTGTTAGTCCTAATATTACTCGTAGTTTTCTTGTACAGTGGAAACTACTAAAGCCATAAAGGAAAAACAGCCTGTTTTTAATAAGCCTTGCATTTACGGTTATATTAACAAAATATAAATGCATACTATCATAAAATTGAATATCTATTGATTATTTTCTAGTATTGTTAAAGTTAACCCTGGTCATATTAATGAGCAAACCTGAAAATTTTTAAGTCTCACGATTTTTCAGTCAATCTCACACGACTTTTTAGATAGCAAGTCTATTTCTGCTACTCAAGGGTTGGCAGGTCTGTTAACTGAAATTTGTCCGTCTTTTAACTGACAGCTGGTCAGTCAAAACTGACGGCTGGACGGCTGGTCAGTCAAAAGACGGTATGCAGGCTATTATTTGCACTTAATTTCAAAGACACTTTGAATATTGACCCATTTGTATGTAAAAAATTAGCGCACTTCATTTATGAAGCCTTTCAAACAAGAAAACATTGACTTATATATGTAAATAATTGGGTCTTGGTCTCCATCATGAATAACCACCTCACCCCAATGCCTCACCACAACCCAGTGAACTCTAATAGCTTTGTTATTAGAGTTCCCTTTCTTCTCACCCCCCCCCCCCCCCGTATCTCCGATGCATTTCCGATCTTTGATTTCCGACAAGTTCCGAAACATTCCTGAACTTCTCTCCCCAGATCTCTGTACCTCTTTCGCCGATTTTCACAAAATTTATTTCCTCAAGAGTCAAGTGTGACAATACATATTTCAAAATCGTCTTATTGCGGAATACAGAGGCTTAAATCGCCGAATTTAAAGCTCCCTTGTGAACCTACCGTCTCTTCTGGGCCAATTGTATGCAAGACATGTAAAACTGGATTGTCAATTTGTTTTTAAAATGAAGGAAAATCGGTGTCGTTCAGTTGAAGCAACTAGCTACCCTTCCCACTTTTGCGACGAAGCTGGCTTTATTTTAGCTACTGTGACAAATATTTAACGGATATGGGCCAAAATCAAGGCAAAGCCGGAGGGAAAAAGATAGGCACTTTAAATAGAAAGAAAAACTCTGAAAAGAGTTATGTCGACAATTCAGGTAACTTACAGTAAGAAAAGGTCATGTTTTATTAATTTGTCAAGGATGTATCTGAGACACAATGGGCAATATTTATGCTATTTCTAAATTGTTTATTATGGTTTTTATCAAGTATTTACGGAACTAAGTTTCTTTGGCAATATTTTAAGCTTTGGCATACAATTAAAGAGCAAAAAATAATGAAATAAAAATGCAATTATGAAAACAAATGCGCAATATGGGATAATGGAATTAAGTCCCAAAGTATTCTAAATGTTGACAATATTCGATAGATTTCTATTTCATATATTACCTATGTATAATTGTTAAATGTATCATTTCTTTGTATGGTTGGCTAATTAGTACTGTAATTTAAACCTCGGCAAACATATTTCTTTATCATAATTTCGTCATATGTAAATCGTAACTTGAGTTCAACAGAGCACCTACCAATAGGAAGACGATTTAGGGGCCAATTACATGAGCCAAGTCGTCCTGGCTAGCCAAGGAGGGACAATGGTACAGATACCGCAGCTTCTATAGTAAGGGAAACGGGCCAACTAACGTAGCCGGGATGCCACTTGTTGATAACTGAGACAATTTGGTTAGCTGAGTCAAAAATTTTCAATCAATAATCTTTAATCAATACCTTTAAGCCAAGGTCACGCTACACAATGATACGATAACTTGTATACATGCACTGATTTGTAAAAAATCGCTCAGGTGAGCAATTTTAAAGACGGGGTACAGTCCGGTCTGCGCATTCACACATAGGAGTATCCTACTGTGATATAAAGACTTTAATTAGGTTTTTATTTCATTTTATTGTTGTATCTTGATCACTTATTATACTGTAGAAGCATGAAAATATAAGTAGTTGTCGAATAAAGTTCAATATTTTGAATGCCGAAATGTAAACAAAGGCTTTGTTTACATATGGACTGTACCCTACCTACCTATCGTTATCGTCAAATGATAATTTCATCATTTTCATTGTAGTGTGGACATTAACACAATTTTTTGCCAATTATCACATATTTACAATTTATCGCACCGTTGTGTTGTGTGGCCGGGCCTTTACAGAGATTTCATAAAACATTTGATGAACGCTTTCCGAACTTCATTTTGAAATTGTTCAAAATCAAAAGTTCATATTGAATGGTTAATTGATTCCAGGAAATTTGAGGCCTGATTGAAATTCTCAAGCCGGTTTGTAATTCGTTAATTGGTTTTATGCTGTTGTGGTGTCCCCGCCTTTTTGTTGCTGTCAACTTTATGTTGTTGCATGTCACCTTTTTGTCCAACCTTGAATAGAGTGGATCGATATTGCAAATACCGAATACCGATATACCGCCATCAGAATACTGGTAAATACCGGTATACCGGTATTTTTAACATGTTTTTTTAAGCCAAACTGAACTGCTGACCGTCAAGAAAAATCAAGTTTTGACAAAATGTTAATGTGCTTGAACATATATATATATACCTATGTGGTATAGAATTGTGTGCTCAATTCAGGTAAATGTAGAGGACTGAGGAAAGATTTTGTTGATATAGCACCGTTTTCTAACCGACCATTACCTGACACACCACCTGACCCAAATTCTCTCAAACGAGGCTGGCAGTCTCTGGAAACCCTGAGTACCATTGAGTCATGTGACCCACATTCGTTCATTGCACTGTACGATTTCAAAGGAGAAACTGAGGATCATTTGAATATAAAAGCCAATCAGGAGGTAGGTGTGTGTTTAATCCATTGAATTGCAGCGCTCTCCCCTTGACAAGTAAAATTTTCTGACGTTAGACAGAGTAAAATAATGAAGTAAGATGCATCAGGGTGCATTGCCACTTAGGGTTTATTTCAAATCCGACTATGACCAGATTTCAAGTCCGCACAATTTGATCAAGTCCGAGGCAAAGCTGAGGACTGGATCAAAATGTGAGGACTTGAAATCTAGTCCAGTACAAATTGGAGGAATTTACTGAATTAATTTTGACCCAGTCTAAGGACTGAAGCAATTTTGATCCAGTCCAAGGACTGAATTAATTTGGATCCAGTCAATCCAAAGACTGAATTAATTTGGATCCAGTCCAAGGACTGAATTAATTTGGATCCAGTCAATCCAAAGACTGAATTAATTTTGATCTAGTCCAAGGATTGAATTAATTTGGATCCAGTCAATCCAAAGACTGAATTAATTTTGATCCAGTCCAAGGACTGAATTAATTTGGATCCAGTCAATCCAAAGACTGAATTAATTTTGATCCAGTCCAAGGACTGAATTGATTTTGATCCAGTCCTAGGACTGGATCAATATACTTCATCAGGTATCCAGTATCATGTGAGCAAAATAAAGCAACATGGTTGGCTAATTTACTCATGAATTACTAATGAGATTGAGCTGTATCAGGGCCATAAGGCCCAATTTGGAAGTGATCTCACTGGTTGTGTGTGGTGAATGCAAGTGCCGGGAAAAACATCTAGAGAGATTCGGGTGATTGCTCCCCGCGGAAAGATTTTGATTTTCTTAAACTCCAAAAGTGTTTTTTTTTTGCGCTGCAGGATGCAAGAAACAGAAAATGTTTTCTCACTCTGGGGGCCCGATGGAAATAGGGTGTTATCAGGTTGTGCAGGCTAGATGAGCAGTCCGATGACAAAAGTCAATCCAAGCCAGTGTGACCAGATTTTCCAGTGGTTATTACTAAACTTTGTGTTCAAAGTGTAGTAAATCGAGAAACATTTCACCAAATTAACGCCCTGTGGATGTATAAAAAACCCACAGCTTGAACATATATTTACCTAATATATATTGTCCTCTAAGGTGTGGATTCTCAGTGACAGTGACAACGGTGAATGGAGCCACGGTCAGTTACGAAATGGTCAAACAGGATGGCTACCTCGAAGCTACATTGCACCCATTGACAGTTTGGATAAGCATTCATGGTACCACGGTCAAATCTCTCGCATCAAAGCAGAAATCGTTTTAAACAGTGGAATAAATGGTAGCTTTTTGGTACGAGAAAGTGAATCGAATGCCAGTCAGGTATCGGTGTCTATACGATTCGATGGGCGTGTATACCATTACCGAGTTAGCAAAAACACCGAAGGTAAACTGTATATTTCAGCCGGTAACAAGTTTGCAACCCTAGCCGAGCTGGTGCATTACCATTCGCAGCATTCAGATGGTCTGGTTACAACTCTCCATTACCCAGCGCCAAAGACGGAAAAGCCGACAATCTATGGTACGCATCAACCGGATAAGTGGGAAGTGGACCGAGATGAGATTTGTATGAAACAACGGCTTGATGCTGGACAGTATGGCGAGGTGTACGAAGGACTGTGGAAGACATATCACAAAAAAGTTGCTGTCAAAACACTAAAGGTAAACAGTTTTCTAATAAAAAATGGAAAATTTGACTGTACATTGGGTCATTCCAGAGAACATCCAGACCTCCCCACGGAGGACATTGGATGTTAACCACCCTACCCTCTTCGGATGTCCTAATACACTTACTATTATCAACAACAAATTTGTCTGCCCTTTGCCCTCCTAACAGCACAAATTTCCTCCATGGGGGAGTGTGGATCGCTTCTGGAACAACCCATTATGCCATTATGTATGCAACAACAAATTATGTTTGGATGTATTTAAGTTACATCTCTCAAATGACAGGTAAGAAAGTATGATATAATGATTCCTTATTTAAGATTCTCTCATAATGCATGTGTAAAAAATGGAAAATATCCCTCAATCTTTGTTGCTGAGGCAAATGTTCCTTGCAATCCTTGAGCCACTTTTTTCCAGGAGTGTCACACCCACAACCTGTACTTCACTCAGTAACACCTACCCACACACACATCCACAACCCGTACTCCCCCCCCCCCCCCAGCTTTACTAGAGTAATATTTAGTTTTGTACTAATACCAGGAAGAGACAATGGAGGTGAATGACTTTCTCTGTAAGAACTTGGTTCAACTCTAGGGGTGTCACATTCTCACCCAGCTTAATTAATACACACCCCTAGTGCTTCTAGTTAGCAATATTTAGTTATTTATTAACACTAGGAAGAGACATTGGAGGTGGATGACTTTCTCCGTGAAGCAAACGTTATGAAGAAACTAAAACATAAGAACTTGGTTCAACTCTAGGGGTGTGATACCCTTACCCTGCAAAGTACCCCTAGCCCCACTATTTCATAATATTTAGTTATTTATTAATATTAGGAAGAGACAATGGAGGTGGATGACTTTCTCCGTGAAGCAAACGTTATGAAGGAACTGAAACATAAGAACTTGGTTCAACTACTTGGAGTGTGCACTCGGGAAGCGCCATTCTACATCATCACGGAGTTTATGGAGGGAGGGAATCTCCTGGAGCACCTGAGGGATCCAGAGAAGAGCAAGGATCTTGATGCACTCATGTTGATGTACTACGCTACACAAATCGCGTCTGCGATGATGTATTTAGAAGAAATGAACTTCATTCACAGGTGGGTGGTCCGTGGACTCTCTACATCTGTAATGGATCTGTAGAAATTTGATTTATTTCAAATTGACCACCGGTTACTTTGTTTAGTACTTGAAATATCAATTTTGCTCTACGTTATGGCCTGGTTATATTTGAAAACAACGTACTATTTCGTAAAACTGATTTAGTTATTTGCCGTTTTAAATCTTGTTTTCTAACTGTTGAGGAATGAAAGTAGTGATGAAGGCATCAACATTTGGAGAGGGGAGCTGTCATCACGTTTTCACCAAATTTTCCCCGAATTCTGACCAAGTCGTAAACATTTTTCCCGAAAATGTTGTCGACAGGGAGGAGGGAGGTCAAAAAATATTCTCCGGACTAACATAAGCAAAGCTTAAATTTTTTTCCCGACCAACAAAAGCAAAGCTTGCAATTTTTCCAGGCAAACATAACCAAAGTTTAGAAATTGTTAAAAATGCGAACGATTTCACAACTGACCATCTTTTATCTCAAACTTTGACCAAATTTTACCAACTTTGTTCTCAAACTCTGACCAACTTTTTGAATTATTGGGGGTGTTATACCTCCCCACACCCCCGATAGCGAAGTCCCTGCTTTAACACTTCCTAAACCTCCCCCTTACCACAGCCGCCTACGCTGTCAACACAGCCACCCACTCGGAATATCTCTGAAAGCGCCGAACTACTTGTTGGGAAACCTTAGTTTAATACTTTCGATGGTGCAAAATTTTCAGTTCTTAATTGGATCACCTAATCAGGAGAGCTACAAGAGTCTGTACTGTCAGCACGATATCACAAAAAATATCCAACGTATTAATACGGAAATTTGCGAGGCTACTAGAAATAGTCGATGGACAAATCGAATAAAATTTGGCTCAATTTGGATGAAAATTAGATCAGAAAGTGGAAAACGTTTGTCTTGCTTTCCCGGGCAGAGTAAACTAAATGGATATATAATACTTTTTGTTTGTGGAAACACCAGGTAAATTTATTACTGCGAAGCTTTCGATCCGTAAGCCCGGATCTTCATCAGTGCTCATAATATGCTCATATTATCGAAAGCTTTGCAGTAATAAATTTACGTGGTGTTTCCACAAACAATTATATGTTTTATCGCCCAGCAAACTTACAAAGAACTAAATGCATATAATTTTTGCATGATACGTCACATAATTTGCTGGAAGATGTATGCAGACCCTGAGTGCCCTCTAGCTACAGATCTAAACTGAAGAGTCTGGAGAAAGCCTGCTGTGTTAGGTAGAGAGTAAATGAAAGTGAAAGTCTTCGTCTCGCATGCACCCTAGACGAACTTATAGCCAGCAGGGCTTTCAGTATCGTTTTAAGTAAGTGGCTGTATGTGAAAATAGTCGAATGAAGGAACCGTTTTATTATCGTTTTATATGTATGCTAGGGGTGCAGCGGATTTCAAATCCGGCCGGAATTCCGGCCGGATTTAACGAATTTTCCGGCATCCGGCCGGATTTGGAGAAAATCCGGCCGGATTTAAATTTCTGTTTTCACCTTAAAAAATTCACAAAGATTGGGATAAACCATCAATTTGGCAGCTTTAAAGTTTAAAAAACACTTATATTATTATAAAAAATTAAGTTATTAACAAAAATATATTTAAAAAAAGGTTTAAACACAATCAAAAATCTAAACTGACATTAACTAAAAATAGTAAAAAACATAAACCGCCATTTTGAATACTGATTTATCCCCAATTGTCCCCATTACCGGTTTATCTCAAATCCGGGAATTCCGGCCGGAATTTTTGTCCAAATCCGGTAAATCCGGTTCCGGCCGGATTCGAAAATTCCAAATCCGGTGCACCCCTAAATTGTATGCCTATGGGTAATAAGTGTGTTCATCTTTTTGCCCTACAAAAACATCAGTCTTCGTACATCAATAATCAGGTAGCTGAGCTTATTTACCGCATGAAAGTTAGACCCTCTAAAATGGTATTCCCAGCAATTTTGGAGAGCAGCTCTTAAGATTGTGTCACATTAATCAAAATATTTAACGAATAATATTATTTAAAATTTATGTTATCAAAACAACAAGAGACCTTTCGCTTGACATTTCTGTGGTTAGTAGGGAATATCTGCGAGAGAAAACCGACGATTGTCAACACTACAAAACAGCGATCTTTGTTCTTCTGCATGCCTTCGTTCAGAAACGAAGTTCACAAAGAATTTTGCCAAAATATTAGTTCTGAACGAAGGCAGAAGAACGAAGACACGATAGATCTTTATGTCTTGCTGTTTTGTCTGGGTCAGCATTCATAAACAGCAAGACATAAATCTTCGGTGCAAGCCCGTAGCTGGCTCTCAATTTCTGAGGGGGCACTGCAGAAAGAATGTAACAGAGGGGTTGGGATGATTTTGACTTTCGTGCTAGCAGCTAGCTTTCCTTTCCAGCTCAGAAAAATTGGGATCGAACGGAACGTTCTTCTACACTGTAAAAGTATTATACTTGTGCTCAATTTTGTGAGTCTTTAAAGTTCTGTATAGGGTTAGTTCAACCGTCTGCTATCTAGCCTAGCTTCTAACAATGAGGTTATTTATTTTAGGCCACAAGCAATCTATTTTCATACAAAAATCGACAAAATTTTCATACAAAAGGTGTATGGTATTGTAATGCATATGATTTTATTGATCCAGCCCTGCTATCTTTGTTTAGTATACATTCGATCATGCATGAATATTACAAATTCATCATTTTGATTGGTTCCTCAACCATTGATATAATCCATGGTAAAGAAAAATACAAAACAAAATTACAAATCACGCACTATTTGTGGATATTTTTGTCTAAATTAATACAAAAATATAAAATTAACCTCAGCATATAGTAAGAAATTAGGCTATGCCTTTGTTGTCTTTGTTGGCTTGGATATGACAGCGCGTTGTCTATTTTTTTAATGGCAAAAAATGTGGAATAAGGGGGGGGGCATAATTTCAATTTTATTTCCGAGTGGGGGGGGGGGC